CTCAATCTCACAATACTCAAATTGGATGGCTCTTCCTTTGGTAATTTTTCTTATTTTCCTCCTCCTGTTGAATTGTCATGAAATACTGAAATTGATTTCCATCTATATGTGTCTGTATAGACGACAAATTCAGGATTTAGAGTCAGTGAGTTCAAATAGTACTGAAATTCATGTGTGGATGCCCTTAGAAATGGATCTAGAATTCAGAGATTAGTATTGTTTATGTGTGAATATTTTTTAATAATTCGGGCTAGGGAAATGGGATGGGATTACAAGGTGGGGGAATGAACCCTCACTGAGATGAAAGTTCAAGTAGCCAACTAACTGACCTACTAATAATCCCCCATATATGTGTGTATGTAACTATATAATCTCGAAGCCAGGAATTTGGCGAAGGGTGTGCAATTTTTCTTGTCAGTTGTGTTAAGCGTGTGCAAAATTAAATATACACTCATAATAGCTAACATTTAACTTTTGTACACCACATAATTTTCAAGAGTGTACACCAGACCATTCTTCGCCTAAGGTGACTCCGCCCATGTACTTATAGGTATATGATTTTTTAAATATTTTGATATGTATATATGGTTTGAGTCCAAGGTAGGACTTTAGGTGCTATCACACTTATTCTATACTACCTAGTTTGATTCATATGTGGCTCGCTAGTATTGATTTATCCAGAGGCGGAGCTAGCTTGGAGGAAGGGGATTCAATTGAAATCCCTTCACTATTATGCAAATAGGGTAAAAGGTAGTCCTTTTTTTGTGTTGTTTTGTTATTTATAAGTTTTCGAACACCCTTGACATGAGAGTTCTTTTAGTGGAGTGCAAAGGGGGTTCAAAAATTGCTTTAGGTTGCAGGCTTCATCATTGGTCATGTATCATATGTTTTTTCAAATGGTCAGATCAATTGAATTTTGTGTTGTGCAGATATTAAAGTTGCAAGGAATGGGACAGTGGCGGAGCTGAAACAGGCGGTGGAATCTGCCTTCAGTCATTTTCCAAAGACAGGAACAGGCAAGGTTTCATGGTATGTGCATTGCAAAAGGAAACTTTCAAATTAAACTTCTTCTGTTGTAGATTGCTTGAGACTTATACTTCGATTTCTGTCTGACGTAATTTGCATAGCTGTTTCACTGTATATTACCTTAGCTAGTTCTTTCAAATTCAATAGTTTTATTGTGACAATTTTACAGGTCACATGTATGGGGACATTTTTGCTTGAGCTACGATGGGCGGAAGCTACTTACTGATAGTGATTTGTTAGGAACCTATCGGATCAAGGATGGCGATAAGGTTTCTTCTCATTCATCATATTTTTGATCTAGGAAAGTTTTCTTTTATCTAATCTTTATATGATTTGCTTATGTTACTTGTTGCCAAATGCATTGGAATATGCAATTTGTAAAAGGAGATGTATAGGCTTTGAAGAAAATTGATTTTTTTTAGCCAAATCAGAATCTTGACTTCTGCAGTCGAATGTGTGTGGTTCTATATATTCCTGTTTGTTTGGAAATTAATAAGCTCCTTCGAGTACATCTTTGTTAGCAAATAATTCTGAATGCACCATAAAGAGGTGAAAATGGTCTGAAGAGAGACCTGTAAAAAGCAGGTTCAATTACTAAGGTATCTAAGGCTCTAAGGAGATTCTGGTTCATATGAATTCTCCCAACCGAAAAGAAACAGATTTACTATCAAATTATTTTAGGTAATCGTGAAAATGTAAGATTGCTCATGTAGACAGATTTCTCATGGTGTTTGCGTATAGCCAGAGGCTATGATTTCTTTCACTAGACTGATTATTAATCCGATATTGTCTATATTCTGGTTTATGGGAGTTCAGCAATTTCTTTCCACCCTGGAGTTAAGAATTTTTCAGATCATTGCTAATGATTATGTACTTTTTTCGTTATAAATCCCAAGTGGAACTGTTTGAACATTTCCTTAACGCGCTAATGCATGATGTTTCTGCATTTGCAGCTCAGTTTTATGAGGCATGTCTCCATCAGTTACAATCTGGTCAAAACGCGATCAGAGAGAGAGGACTCTAGTAAGAATGAACCTAGCATGTAAGATATGTATATTGTTTTCATCCTTATTGTTGGTTCATGTGTTCTAATAATGCACTTCACCCATGCCTGGTATGGTATTGTTTGCTATCGATGCTTGATTCTTCCATAGATTGCAAACACTAGGCCTAAGTTGCTGGAGACACTTGGTCATAAAAGTTGGATCTTGTTCATCTAGGTGTTTCCATATATAGTTTCTAATACTAGAATATTGTCATTTATATGTTCCATTTATAGTTTCTATGTTGATTTCTTGCCAGTACTGCTCACCATCATACCGATATAGACCTGGCTATGTCACTTTGTGTGATCATGCAGAGTTTATGCATATTTTTATGAAATGTTCACTATATGTATGAATTTGTCTTGCATAGTGGCATTGTAAGGGCACATAGATAACATCATCTTTGAAAATGCATTTTTGCAGATCAAAAGGCTGTGAAAGCAGACAACGGAGAGGTGAACGAGAGGGTAATCACCATCAAGATGACTTATCAGAGAACCAAAACAATATCCATGACAACAACAGGGGTGTTGTAGCTAATTGTGAGTCCAGGCTGGTTCATTTGTTTAGAGGGTGGCTCCCATACAAATTGACAAGCCCAGAGAGGAGAATGAAACAGAAGAGCAGCACATCGAGATCACACGATGGTCTACTTATGGAGTTCTAACAGTGTTGTGCTGTGATTAGTACTTTTGAAAGCGAGGAATCCAGCAACTGTTTGCAAATGTCAAAGAGAGTTGGAGAGTGAAATGGAAAACATCCACCTCTAGTTAAAGCTCTAAGCTTTTGACTTTATAAAAGAAGATCAGTTGCCTGCCTATGCATCTGTTCCATTTCCTCATTTGCATATCAAAATTAATTGTGTACATGAATTTGCTTATGTAGAACACAAATATCTCTTTGGTCATTAGAAACAGCAAATCCACTATCATCAGACTTGAACTTCTGCATTCTGGTTTGGGATCTCCATGAGTATTCAAAAAGAGTTTGTGTTTTATACACTGACGGTATAAAAAGCTACTTACACAATTTAGTCACTCATGAACTAATTATAGGTACATACTACAAGGATTAAATGGTAATCTAGTAGAAATGTTAACTAATGGTATGTTCCTCAGACTTCTTCAAAAATGTCATTGTGATCCTTCAAAAAAGTTATGCATTTTTGGAGGATTTTAGAAGAATCCGAGAAACTTCATACTAGCCTATCATCATAGGTTAAAACTACACTAATAGAGTAAACATTATTTACACTATTAGCATGTTTACTTGAACCGAGATACTCCCTCCGTCCCTATTTACTTGTCCATATTTCCTTTTTTAGTTGTCCCTATTTAGTTGTCCATTTTGACAAATCAAGAAAGGACAACAATTTTTTTCCTATTATACCCTTATTTACACTTCTTGAAAATTGTAAAAGTGTATGTTGTTTCCCTCCAATTTATTTCACTTGAATTCAAATAAGTGGTTGTAATTTTGAAGTGAAAAGTTGTCATAAGGGTAAAATTGTAACTTCACTGTGCTAATCATTGTTGCCTTAATCTGTGTGCCATTTCTAAAGTGGACAACTAAAAAGGGACGGAGGGAGTAAGAAATTAGGCATATGAATTAACTTGCGGACCACAATTTTCAAACTTTTTAGTCACTCTACCAACTAATAACAAGTGTAACTTTTTTTTTCTGGTTTCCCATCTCATTATATCCGTCTTGGTACCCTATTAATTTGGATTCAGCCCATTCAGATGTAGCACTCGTTACCAAGAACTATTAACCTTATCCACTGCACCACGTCATTTGGAGACACTAAAATTGTGTAACTAATTAAACAAGGATATGACTTGAAAAAATATACTCAGAGAAAAAGAATGACCTCACGTGAGTGGCACACCCTTAGAGCTCCAATTTTCAGCCTCATCGTATTGTGTGGCATAGATTGAGATAGCCTTTCTAAGATCTTCCTTGTTTCCTTTTGTTCAAAAAAAATAATCAAGATTCGAACCTCTCAAAAATATTTTGTTTTTTACAACTGCAAAATCCCAAGTGGCAGAAGAGTAGAAAAAGAAGAAGAAGCCATGGCCAACATGATGATGAGCTCCTCCAAAGTTTTAATCACTTCTTCATCCTCTACCATCCCTCCATCTCCAAGATTCAAACTTTCCCTCACCCAAATCCCTTTTCCAAAAATACCCCTCCCCAAATCACCCAAATCCCTTGAAACCCTCTCAATCCCATCAACTCTCAAGTCCATTTCAGTCATTCTTGCAAGCTCATTGGCCATGGCACCACCTTCACTAGCAGAGGAAATTGAAAAAGCTTCCCTTTTTGATTTCAACTTGACACTCCCAATCATGATGGCTGAATTCCTGTTTCTCATGTTTGCTTTAGACAAGATTTACTTCAGCCCATTAGGGAAATTCATGGATGAAAGAGATTCTGCCATTAAGGAGAAATTGAGCAGTGTGAAGGACACCTCTGCTGAAGTGAAGCAACTGGAAGACCAGGCTGCTGCAATTATGAAGGCTGCAAGGGCTGAGATATCAGCAGCATTGAACAAGATGAAGAAAGAGACTCAGCAAGAAGTAGAGCAGAAGATTGCAGAAGGAAGGAAGAGAGTTGAGGCTGAATTGCAAGAAGCTTTGGCTAGCTTAGAGAGTCAAAAGGAGGAGACAATCAAGAGTCTTGATTCTCAGATTGCTGCTCTTAGTGATGAGATTGTCAAGAAAGTCCTTCCTGTCAGTAACTAATTCTGAAAAGTTGTAATGTTTTTTTTTTTCTTGGGATTGGTAAGAGTTAACAGCTTGTTTGGATGGATGGTTGTTACATGTAATATTGTACTGTGATGTTAGTTTAAATACAATGTTTATTTTGATTGTTACTTAATTTTATTTAAAACCATTGTTATGTAACCACAAAAAGTCTCATTTTATATAATGAGATTTGGTGTGATCACGTTGTTATGTTTTTTTTTTTTTTTTGTTGTTGTTGTGATGCTCTTGCAGGTGACATATATGGGGACATTGTTGCTTGGGCTATGATGGGCAGAAGCTACTTACTGATATTAATATGTTAGGAACCTATTGGATCAAGGATGCTGATAAGGTTTCTTCTCATTTCATCGTACTTTCTCGGAAAGTTTTCTTATATCTAATTTTTTATATGGTTTGCTTATGTTGCTTGTTGCTAATGCACTGAAATATGCAATCTGTAAAAGGAGATTATTAGATTAGGAACCACATTCCAATAATTTCCAGTCCATCTTATGTCCAGGCTTTGAAGAAACTTGATTTTTTGTTGAGATGAATCAGGATATGTCATTTTGCAGTTGAATGTGTGTGGACTGGCACAGATGGAACTTATAAGTCAGAAGTTTGGCTGTAATTGTTCCGATTTGCATTTTCATTGTTTCGATGTAGGAGTCTTTGATTGGAAACTAAAAGGCGGTGCATATGGTCTGAAGAGAGACATGTAAAAGCAGGTTCAATTACTAAGGCTCCAGAGAATTCTGGTTCATATGATTCTCCCAAACCAAAAGGCAACAGATTATCACTTACAAGTAAAGAGCTGAATATGGGCCAAAGCAGAGAACTCTGTTTATTACAAGTTAGAACTTTCTTTTGGAGATTTTAGATGGATTATCTTCCCACCTAATGAGATATGTACATTTTCCTTTATGAAGCACAAGTGAAACTGTTTGAACATTTCCTTGGCTCGCTAATTCTTGATGTTTTTGCATGTGCAGCTCACTTTTATGATGCATGTCTCCATTAGTTACAATCTGGTCAAAACGTGATCAGAGAGAGGACCCTCATGAAAATGAAACCAAGCATGTAAGTTCTGTATACTGGCTCTGTCATTATTGTTGGTTCATCTGTTCTAATATTGCCACCCTATTGCTTTGCTATCAATGCTTGATTCTTCCATAGAATGCAAACACTAGGCCTTAGTTGTTGGACTTTTGGTTATAAAAGTTGGATCTTGTTCATCTAGGTGTTCCCATTTATAGTTTCTATACTGGAACATTGACATATATATGTTCCATTTATAGTTTCTATGCCGATATTTTCCCAATACTGCTCATCATCATACCGATATAAACCTGGCTATGTTACTTTGTATGATCATGCAGAAGAATTGGAAGAATGGACGTAGTGTTGCAGAGTTTAATGCATATATTTATGAAATGTTTAACTATATGTATGAATTTGTCTCGCATAGAGGCACTGTAACTTGTAAGAGCAGTTTAGGTAATATCCTCTTTGTAAATGCATTTTTGCAGACCCAAAGGCTGTGGAAGCAGATATCAGAGAGGTGAACGGGAGGGTAATCACCATCAAGATGATTTATTAAAGAACCATCGAACTAATTTTAATGACAACAGGTGTGTTGTAGCTAATTGTGAATCCAGGTTGGTTCATTTGTTTAGAGGGTGGTTCCCATACAAGTTGCCAAACCCAGAGAGCAGAATAAAACAGAAGAGCAGGGCATTGCGATCACACGAATAGAAGGCATTCACCTCTAGTTGATAGAAAATTAGTAATTTGTATCATCTGTTTCATTTCCTCATTTGCAGATGACAGTCAATTAGTTGTGCAACATGATTTTACTTGGGGTTTGGCATAAAAAAAAAAAGTCTTGGGATTGTGTAAAAGAGCACCCCCACCCCCCAATTTCCTCTCCATGTACACTATTTTCTAGGTTCTGTGTAATCAAATCTTGATTTTCATCATTTTGCCTAAGAACACAAATGCACTAATATCTCTTGGTCATTACCTCATTGGTTAAGAGTAAATCCATCTATCATCACACTTAACTTCTGCAATCTGGTTTGGGATCTCCATGGTTATTAAGAAAAAGTTTAACTTCTTATGCATTGACGGTGTAAAAAAAATACTCATCTCATCAGGTTAATCAGGAGGTAAGGTAACTACATGTAAATCATACGATAAGTTAGTTGATAATCAAATAAAAACATTAACTAAACTATCATCAAAGGTTAAACTACACTGATAGCATAAAAAATCTTTACTCTATTTGGTGTAATAACTTAAATCCAGGTTACAAAATTGGTATATGAATTAACTTGTGCATCACAATTCACAAACTTTCAGTCACTCCTTAGTGAATAAAACCAAAAGGCCACTTACAACTAATTACAATTTTGTGCATATCAAATGCCAATGCCTTTGGTTTATTAGAATTACATAAAGAAATACTCACAGAAAAAGAAAAAAAAGAACCAGTTGCACACCCATCTCAGCCTCATAATATTGTGTGGCATAGATTGAGATAGCCTTTCTAAGACTTTCCTTCTTCCCTTCTAAAACCACCAAAAAAAATCCCAAGTTCTAAGAAGCCATGGCCAACATGATGATGAGCTCCTCCAAAGCCTTAATCACTTCTTCATCCTCCACCATTCCTCCATCTCCAAGATTCAAACTTTCCCTCACCCAAATCCCTTTTCCAAAACTACCCCTCCCAAAATCACCCAAATCCCTTGAAACCCTCTCAATCCCATCAACTCTCAAGTCCATTTCAGTCATTCTTGCAAGCTCATTGGCCATGGCACCACCTTCACTAGCAGAAGAAATTGAAAAAGCTTCCCTTTTTGACTTCAACCTGACACTCCCCATCATGATGGCTGAATTCCTCTTTCTCATGTTTGCTTTAGACAAGATTTACTTCAGCCCATTAGGGAAATTCATGGATGAAAGAGATTCTTCCATTAAGGAGAAACTTAGCAGTGTAAAGGACACATCTGCTGAAGTGAAGCAACTGGAAGACCAAGCTGCTGCAATTATGAAGGCTGCAAGGGCTGAGATATCAGCAGCATTGAACAAGATGAAGAAAGAGACTCAGCAAGAAGTAGAACAGAAGATTGCAGAAGGAAGGAAGAGAGTTGAGGCTGAATTGCAAGAAGCTTTGGCTAGCTTAGAGAGTCAAAAGGAGGAGACAATCAAGAGTCTTGATTCTCAGATTGCTGCTCTTAGTGATGAGATTGTCAAGAAAGTTCTTCCTGCCACTAATTAATTCTGAAAATTCGTGTAGTAAATCAGATTACTGTTTGATCAAAGATATATAAATGTGAAAATATTTGGGTTTTTTATATGATGAATCTCGTGTGTACATCTTGGTTTTTGGTAATATGAGGATTCTAAGTGATTTTTCAGGATTTTGTTTATGAAGTTAAAAGAAAAATTGAAACTTGAAAGCCAGAGATCAACTTCTCTCTCCATACTGTTTTGGTCCTAGAGCTGAGGTCTATCGGAAACGGTGTCTCTACCGTTGTCCAAAGCACATTGAGACAAACACAAATCAACTTGTTTGGGAGGCGTGATAGTAGTTGTAATCCATCAAGGTAATTGGAAGTTGTCAGTTATGATTTGATATTGCCTTTTTTTTTTTACGACAAGTTTTGGTTAACAGCAAGAACATATCCACGAATGGAGTCTAGAGAGGGAAGGATATAATTGCGCGTGCAATTGTGAGACGGTACTAATTGGTCAATGGCGCTTAATTAGGTAATGGCAGAATTGTCAACCCACATATCCAATTGTTCATTTTTTTAACTACCAGGCGTAAACTATTACCACATCACTTACAGTGAAGATAGCAGCAAGATGTTTACATTCAACACCACCTTAGATAAGCAAGGTTAAAAAAAAAAACACATCCAACAAATAATGAATTTTAAAGTTAACAATGCTTTTTTTTTTTTTTTTTTTTGCTTTTCCAACAGATGTAATTCAAGACCATAGAGAACCCAACAGCTGAATGCAGTATAAGCTTGGGATACTTCAATCATCAGGAAAAGAGAAGACATAAAAATAATCAGTTCTGCTGCTCCTCGTTGTCCCCGTTTTGCTCTGCTTCTGCAGCCATTAACTCATCAAACTTCTCAGTCTTGCCCAGCACTATTTCAATCTGCACCAAGCGAAGATGAATAAATAAAACAAAAAACCTTAATTTGATAAAAAAGACGACACCACAGATTAGACAAGGATGACTGTTCGGAGAAGGAATTTTTTAAAAAGATGGATTGCGAACCACATTTAACACCCACTAGCTCACATGAATTCAACAATGTTTTAAAGAGTATATGGGGGAAGAAGAACATGAAAGCTGTAAAAGCAGCATCTATATGGCATAACGTAATACTGGCTAGACTCATTTTTCCATCTCTGCTGTTGAGTGTTGCCAAAAGAAAATGATTTTATTCTGTTCAACGGCTTTTGAAAACAGGAACAACAACAATGGGAAAAACCACAAGATAATGCATTAAATGGGAATGTACCTTCAACAGGCATGGGGGTGTAAAACTAACTTCTAATCAAGTCTAAGATTGACCAAATGGGACTAGACAATTTTGGTTCGTAAGGATGTAAACCATCACTGACCCTACCATCTATTCTACAGCTTTTCTAAAATTCTGCACACATCCAAACTCAAACAGAGAAAAATAAGAACACACACACATCAACTACCTCTTGAACACTTAACTTAATCTACTGTTCTTCAGAAAGAATCTTGAGTCCCAAGCTAACATTTACCATAGAACCTCTACAGAATGAGTTCCATTACTACCAAACCACCAAAACTGAAGCAGACTAATGCATCAATTGACCGACTCATAATGCTTTTGGAATTTACCTTTGCTTTTGGTATCGGTCGGGCTCCTGGGTCATCCCTCATGTCCACAGTGAGTGTCCTGATCTCTGCAGCAAGTGTACCCTCAAAGTTAGATGACAAGAAAGATTATAAAAGGGATGGGAGTGGAGTACGAGAAGCCTCACTCTTCTCAACAGCAAATCCATTGTTCTTGAGAATTTCGGCAATAGTAACCACTGTTGAAATAGCTGTATACATGTGGAAAAGGTTGTTAATCCTTTAGAACTATATGGCAAGCCAATTCAATTATTAATGAGTTTGCAACATAACACAAAATAATAAGTCCACAAAAAAATGAAAAGAACATCAAACTGAACTGTACCACCACTATATATTTCTTTGTACTTAATAAGGTTTACCGGCAAGCCAAAGGAACCACTTCAAGCATAATTTTTTTTTTTTTGAGAATGGTAAAGGAACCACTTCAAGCATATTCTCAAGCACATTCTGCTTTATAAGTAAAAGATCCCTGGGAAGCCGCAGGAATAAGGTTGTGATGAATCAGAATTCATCCCAGATATGCTCAACTATTTTCTATGGTTGAAAACCATGGTCGTTTTTATGCCAGAAGTTGGTTCAAAATTGTTTCACTAGGATATCACATCACTGGTAAAGTGAGCAACACTGTGTATTATACTCTTATTATACACATGCGGTTGCAATAGTAAACAACACATTCTTGAGATGGTAAAAAACATCACACATTGCAAAGATTGGAATTCATCAATAATCAAGAAAAAGTCAATTGGGAAAAGAAAGTGAGAGTGCCTCCATAACCCAAACTGTAACACGGTGTATTCTTGATGTGAAAAGACAGAATAAACAGAATGTAGAAGAAGACCCATATGGCATTATAAGCAAGGGGAAACCACAAACTAGTACTCAAGATTGAGGGTCAAGAAGATTTACCCATCCCAAGAGCAGAGAGTTCCACTTCATTGTACTGTTGCATGTACCTCTGCAAGAAACATACCAAATATCTCAGGATACGAACTCAGACCAATAGCAACAGTTTTAGATTCTGGTGTAAGACCAGGAAAATATAGATAGTCACATGGCTAACACTTTTCAAGATTTTCTCTTGCATCCAGAAAAAGCTTCAAACAATATACTATAAGTCCGGCGCCAACCCTATAATTGTCACTAAATATACCTAAAGTATTTTTTGATAAAGAATACTTATGAACTGCCTCAATTGCAGGTCCAAATTGTTAATTTGGATCCTACATAAACTCACATCACTTCGATTGCAATTGCTCTAGACTTTGTGAAGTCCTGTCTGAACTGCTACTGCAGACAATCAGAACTTGAACTATATTCTAATCTTATGTTTCTCAAACAAAATATTTGTTCTTTTTAACTCTCCGTATTACATATAGAATTTTTTCTTCAATCACCCAACCCATCAATTAATTATTGTAATACAGATTAGCAATTTTTCTTCAATCAAAAACTAATAAAATCCCAGAAAACTAGACCTTAGCCAACATAAGCAATCAAACGCATTGAATTAACAAAGATCCTGGTTACTGTGCATTAACTGAAAGCATTTTGCAGGTCTCCCACTATGAGCCATGTCATTTTTGAAAATGTAATTAATTGTTCCCGTTCATGATAGTGGAAACAGTATGCAAGATCCAAGTCCTTATTTTTACCTTCTCTCACATAACTTGTCAGCAAACAACTCAACAACCATAAAAGAATCTATCATTGTTCAACAAGCATAGACCCTCATAATCATTAAACGGAAACAACTTTTGCAAATCTAGCTGTCTTCATAAAAACATCCAACAAAAGAATCCTCCATAACCAATTTACAGACAAACAAGTATAATCATTTTAAAACTACGTCCAATTACCCAAAACTTCGTCAATGGATACACAGACTACAATGGATGGCTTTATAACATGGAAAAACAAGTAAACAAATTTAAATAACTAATAGCTTAAAATACAGTAATAGTGTAAAAACACCTTATGATTTCAATGTATATATAATTTAAATGGGAAAAAAAGCACCTTTGAGAGATTAACATAAAAGAAGAGCGATTTCTTAGTGTT